CCTACCAGCGGGGTAATTGGCTTCCTTGAGGGATCCTTTAATAATAAAGGAAAAAGAGACAATTCCTTCCCAGCAACTAGCTATTTTGCCTTTTCAATTCAACTCAGTTAAATCGGTAGCAAAGTTGCATAAAGGGAAGATGAACACATTAATAGCTGCAACAGAAATGCACAGAAAGACAGAGAGAGACTAGACATGTCTTACTTTCATTCTGAAGACAGATTTACCTTTGCCTATGAGAAATACAAGTCCTGGGTTAATCAAAACGTGGCACTGGGCAAGTTTTTGTCAAATCTCCCACAAAGTGCTTCTGGGTTTCAAGTTTATCTTCTCATAGTTCTCTGACTCACTTTAAAGGCAGACATGGCTAATGTAACTTGAGTTCTAGGAGTTCACCAACTCTGCTCAGTGAACCAGTGGACTCCTTACAGGAGGATTATGTAAACAAGAAAATCCTTCTTGAGTTTAGGGCTTAGTAACAGATATTTCATTTAGAGGACACTCAATGTTGGCAAGAGTGAGAATTGAACTTGAATTGAAAGAAGGAGTTTGATTTATTCATGGGACAATACAGGAAAGAGACAAATTAAAGACTAAAGTCTAAGGAATCAATTCATGATGCAAATTATAGATCAAAGAGCATCAGTTTAATAAACCTCAAGTTAAACTGAATCCAGACATTAACTGAAGCTTGAATTGGACTATATAATGTCTGTGTAGCAAATTTGCTAAAAGCAGAATATAGGTTTAATATTTTTTCTAATGAAGTAGAACATCAAAACATTCCTTGAACTGAATCTGAACTGAGCCAATGTTTCATTTGATTTGAGTCCCTGCTAAAGAGTAATATTCTGGTTTTCTTTTGCTTTCAATGGAAAGTAGTTAAAATTCCCTGGAAATGGTCTATTTTCCACAAGATTCAAGTTGAATCAGGAAGATATGTAAATTGATCCAAAATTTCATGTCCAAGACAGACTAATAGAGGATCAAACAGGGTGATATTACCTATCAAGTCTCAGGAAAGATTAAAGAATTTCAAACAAAACTCAATATCATTATTCTTTGGATAGATGTTTATTTGCCTGTGTATCTCCTTTGCTAACAGCCCAGAAAGTTTTTGATCTTTTATGAAATAACTCTTCTTAAAGCTCAAATATTTGTAGGAAATAATTATGTCAACTGAAAAATATGTGTTGTCTATAATTCATCATTCTGGTTATCTGATTCTTTTTTTTTTTTCAGACAGAAAAGTTTACTTGCGAAGGGACCAGGTGAGTAGGGAAGGGAAAAGGAAGGGGAAAACATCTCCGGAAAGCCAGGAGGTGGGGTGCCTCTCAAAAAATGAGGGAGAGAGAGACACCATGGATATCTGAGTTTGATTCTTTGGAAGTTACTGTATAATTGTAAATTAGCTGATAGTGATGGAAAATTATTCTTATCTTCAGTTATACAAAATGTATTATTCAAAGGCAATACTCTATCTTAAAAGAAAGTAAGACATTTGTCCCAAATTATAAATCCAAGTATTGGGGATGGGTGTGTCATTTTGATAAGTATCTCCATGTTCTCTTCAAAGTCCTAACTCCCACCACTTCCCAGTTTGGAGTGACTGTGAGTGAGTTGGCATGGAAAGGAATATATGGATATGACCACATCCAAATCTTACCTAAAGTACTGTTTTGCCTAAACTAAGCTTTGCTCCTTTGCGATATTCAGTGAGTGGATGCGTTGGACTTGACGTTAAACAAATTTCTATGGAATGAACATGATCATGTTTACATTGTTCCTCCTGTCCTTTGGTGCTGAATGCAGAGGCCTTAGACACATTATTTGTGATAAAAACCAAAACATTCTGGACACTTCCATGAAGGTGGTCTAGACTAGATTTTGGCTTCATTTATGGTCATAAACTATCTGAAATGAAGATTCCATATCTCTGCTGAGAATACAACATTAGATCGGGGGTAGAGGACAAGGGCTTAAGTTTACAGTTCTGCTATGTGCCAAGTGCAGTCCCCTCCTTCTCTCAAATTGATTATTTATCTTGTAAGTTTGAATAAACCCCCATTCTTTTTCTTTAGTGAGCAAATTCTATAGGAACAAGAGCATGTCTTGCTTGCTTTATCTTGGGTTGGAATCTATTATAACACCTTTCAATCAATTATTGAGTCCTAATGTACAAGGGTGCTTTAAAAGCTTGTTGGAAAAAAGAAATTAAAAGGTAACTCTATTTGTTGAAAATATTCTTTGAAATTCATGCATAACTGTTTTTATCATATACATTTTTGTGCAATTTTTGAAGCCCTTTTGTATGCATGGATTTCAAAACGTTTGTACAAAAAAAAAACTTTTAATTTCATTTTCCATAGCCTTTTGAAGAAACATTATGATCTTTTTATGTCTCTAATATCTTAGAGTCATTGAGATGTGTGTTCTGTGGAAGATAAGTTTTGTAGGTAAAATGCTGGAGCATAATAATTTAACATATATTTAAACAGTTGAAAGTGTTTAATTGCAGAGAATTGTCTTCATGTGTGCTGGGTAATCCACTGATTATCAAAGAGAATCTATTTTCTTGAAGCTAGTGCTACCTGAGAACTTCAATCAATGAATTATATGGTTGTTAAAAAAACAGGTTCTTTAATTCTTTGATAACTCATTTGAAATACTGGAGCCTAACTCTCCTCTTGAATTAGACTGGACTTAATGAATAGAATAAAACAAGTTGGCTCTATCTTCTTTCTTGTTCACTTTCTTGAATTAATCAGGGTGGGAGATTCTGTCAACAGTCATCTTGGAAGTACATTCTGCAACTCAATTCTGCTTCAGACAACTGCAGCCCATAACAGTATTTCTAGTTGAGTATAACAAGATGAATGACTCCGAGTCACAACCACATAGATAAGCCACTCCTGGATTCCTGACCCACACAAATTGTGATATAATAAATACTTACTTAAGCCAGTAAGTATTGGGGTAATTTGTGTCACAGCAAGATATAAGCAGTTTAGTTAGAAACCCTAGACATAACTGATGCCATTTTTGAAAAATGATTAGCTAAGCAACTATTGCAAGATTTTATAAACTTGGCCAAGTGTTTTTCAAGTCCATCTTTTGGAAATTTCTGCTCAGAAGCTGTCAAAACCATTTCACCCAATGCAGCTGTTAAAACCTAGGGTTTTTTTTTCCTTTTTATAGCTTCAGCAGTAAAAAATTCACATATATACATTAATGTGTTTGTCACACTTGAAAAAGAGATCACCAACAAAATGTATTTTTATTCCTTCACCAAATATTACCTTTACACCATTCTGGGTGAGATAGGTGCTCTTATGCACCCACCCATTCACAACCATTACTTGAGCATCTACTAGGGGGCCAGGCACTGTACTTGACACTGAGGATACAAAAACAGAGGTAACAACTTGCCCTTGAGGGGCTCAGTATCTAGCTGGGGAAGCAGACCAACACCTACATACTTCACAACACAGTGTGGTGAACATTATTCCAGAGATAAAAAATAATATGCTGTGGTGTTACAAAAGACAGAACAGCCATCTCTATTCCCTGTGATCTTGAAAGGATGAGTACCAGCTCTTGAGGAAAGAAGAGTGGCAGATCAGAGGAATAGCATTCCAGTTGTGAGAGATCAGAATGTGCAAAGGACATGTAAGTTTGAGAAAACTAGGCCATTCTTTTATAATTTAGTTTCCTCTGCCTGAGCATAAGGTGGTGTTTGGGAATGAGCATGCTCCTGACAGTATGAAGCAGCACAACAGGCACAGGGATTTCAAAACCAACAAGGTGAACATGCTGCACCAAATGGAAGGGGACTCGTACTTCCCCAAGGCTCTTAGGCTAGAAGAGTTGTCTGAGCCTTACAAAGATAAATGTTTAACTCTTCTGGGTCATATAATCTTCTTAACATGACAATTGAACAGTTCTGTGCATGAATATATTAAACTTCTGAAAATGAGCTTTGTGGTCTTTAATTATTAATAAACTAACGAAAAATGTTGCCTTTTAGATCAGTGACACTCAAACTGTGAATCCAAGGCAAGATAAAGAATTTGGGCCAGAACTTTAATGAAAACACTGCTACCATCATTAGTAAAGCTGTGTTCTCAGGGGGAAAAAAAAAAAAGATGTCAGCTTAACTAAATGTTTGCTTAATGGAATAGTTGATTTACATTTGGCACAAACTCTTAATCTCATCAGGGCTAACTGCTAACAAATAGCTCATGGGTTGGCAGTGAGCCATAGACCACATTTTTTAGATAACTCACTATCCACTAAATGCAGTGTTTTATGACACATCTCATTGCTGGCTTTCAGAGTTTGTTCTGTTATCTTTTCCCATTGGGCTAGTGATGCAGCATATTTTGTATCCACTTTATATACATTATATATATATACATATACATATACATATACATATATACACATATACCCACACATATGTGTATATATATGTATATACATATATATACATACATACACATATACATTTTAGATGTGTATGTGTGTATATATAGTGGTATACTTCATTTTGTTTCAGCTTCTAATTCATTGAGTCAAATTTAAAGCTCAAGTGTATAAACCTGGTTGACATTTTTTGGCACTATTTTACATTCTTATTCTCCGTCATGATTTTCAATTTCAAATTCGTTTGAGTCAATCATTTCATTGAATGTATTTTTTTTTCTGGATGAAGATGAGGACAATGATGACAACCATGGTAATAAGCATTACAGCAAGCAAGACAAATAGGCCAGATCTCTGGTTTGTGTCCGTGTGAGTAGAAACATGGTTGTGACTGTGCCTCCATGATTCCAACAAAGTGGTTTGCTGATTTCCGTTTCTGAATTGCTAGGATTTGTGTTCATGGAGACACAGTAGTAGTCAAGAGGAACACCATGCGCTGCATGCAGAGGGTACTGGCCTGCATCCCGAAGTCAGCGTGCAGTTAGGAGAAGAACACTCACCGTCTTGGTCGTTACCTGAGTCAGCTGGAGACTTGCTTCGGCGCATAGGGCCAGGGCTCTTGGCGGAACTCTTCTGAGGTGTTGGGGATGCCTTGGGGCCAGCAGTGGCTGAGGGATTTCCCTTCATGACTCGGCATTCTGGGGCAAAAGGACACTGCTTAGTAGGAGGTGAAATTGAGGCTGAGCATGTCATCAGCCTCTGAAAGGAGGAACAACTACCATTGGCCAAAAACACTTGATTGACTCAGGTCTCTATGGTGCTCCTCATTGTCGGTAGGAACCGTGGTTCTGGGGAAGGTGGCATGGGGGAACTCTCAAGTCACTGGGATTAAGATAGATATTTAACCCCCTGTGTTATGGAACAAGGGAAGAAGTTTGAAAGCAGGCCAAGTAGGTAACTGGAAGTCCACTTGGGGCAGACATCTGGCATAGTGGTAAAGGAATGTTGTTAGGAGATGTGAATCCATAGCAGTGGGCCTAGGTTAGATTCCTGTATCTCTTGACTGCAGCTTTCTGTTTCTGCAGATGGGAAGACAGTAGTTGTGGTTCAAGTAATTTAGTTCCTGTCATCCACACAGGAGAAACAGATTGGGTTCCTAGTTCCCAGCTTTGCCCCTCTTCCAGCCATTGTGGGGAATTTGGAGGAGGATGATAACTACTTCTCTGTTTCTCTTTCCCTCTAAAATTTCCAACTGAATCCTTTGTCATCCATGAGTGATTTAAAGAGGGGATAGGAAACACAATCATATACTGTTACATGCCATACTTTATAATACTCATAAACGGCTTTTATATAATTTAAATTTATGTACTTTTGAGACATAAATACAGCCAGAGAGTTGCTGTGAATTGAACCCAGGAACTCCAATATGGAATGTGAGCATCTTAACCACCACACTAAACAACACCCTGTTAAGTAAGTTTATGCAAATAAGCACTATCATCACCATCATCTCACATATATAGCTTTTAAAAAATTTTTATATACATTATCATAAGCCCAATGGTGATTTAATGAATAAATGGCTCAGCAGCAACTGCCATTCAGAATATGAGAGAGCTCATGGGTGTGGACTAGAGTGTGACAATGTTCCGGGATTTGCCGCAACTCCAATCTGACACATTTAGAGCATATTTCTTATGTAAGTTACTCAGCCTTCCATATCATGGTAATCTGGGGACTTGATAGAGTTCAATTTTTAAGAGGATCATTATACTTATGTTGCTGATGAGCAGCATCTTCATTTGGGCTAAGAAGCAAGAAAGTAACAAAACAAAAACTTTTAGCTAAATCAGCTAAGTCTCAGCTTAGCGATCTTTCTGTTGAAGTTTCCTCAAACTGGTACTGTGATATGAAAAGTGGACTCAAACTTTTCGATAGAGTTGTCTTTTCCTTTTTAATTTCTTTTTGTTTGTTTGTTTGTTTGTTTGTTTGAAAAACAGAGAGTATTCCCATCTGCTGGTTTACTTTCCAAATGCCCACAAAAGCCATGACTTTAGTGAACAGTTAATAATTCAACACATGTCTCCCAGTTATCTGAATCATCACCTATTTCCTTCCAGCATCTGCATTGGCAGGACACTGAATTTGGGAACTAGAGCCACGCCTTGAATATAGGCACTGGATATGGGATGCAGGCATTTTAACTGATAGGTCAACACCTGCCACAAGAGTAATCTTTTCTTTGGATGTCTCTTTGTAGTCCACTTTCAACATGCTTAAAGGTATGCTGAAATATAAATTAACTAGAAAGATCAAGAGAGTTAGTCTGATAAATTGAATATTTCAGGGTACTCAGTCATGCAAAAATGTTGTTTTTGCTTGTTTTACTTCTTATTGTGGTTGATGAACTTTAGGGTCACTGCTCATAACTAGAGACATGGAAGGTAAAGTGAGTTGGACATATCCTGTATTTGTTAAGTTATGGTATTGTCATTTTCCTTTTCTCAAATGAAACACAGCTGAAATGCAATCCTTTTCAGGTGTCATGTCATTTGCACCATTTGTAAAGTGTATATAAGTAACTCCCCAATGGGTTTTCTCACATTTATTTCCTAAATGGGAAATATGTTTAAATGCATCTTCCAACAGAAAATCCTATTTATGTGTGAGCTGATCCACCTTCAAACTTCTACCTGGGGTTTGGGATCAAACAAATGGAAATGGATAGGTAGCTCCACCCTGAGATTAAAAACAGTCTGGAATCCTGAATCACAAAACAAGAGAGATGGGACAGCAAGCCCAAAGTGCTTGTTGGGAAAAGTATTTTGATACTAATGCAGTGGAAAATATTTTTATGAATGGAATAATCATTGGGCAGTATAGCTGGAAGATATTGGCTAGAATAATACATAATTATTATATATAATGATATTATGTATAGAATGCATTATATCATATCAAATATATCATATATTTTAGATATATAAAGTCAAATTTTGACTCCAGATTTTCCTGCATGTTATCTGATTGTGCCTATAAGCCCATGTAATACAATATGTGGCTCAGAAACTTAGGGTCACTATCAAGACAGATGATGATTTTATGGAGTTTGAAAGATGGGTCTCTAGAACATACCATCAACCTTAAGCATAATGACCCATATGCCCAAATAAACAGAAAAAAAAAGACTAACAAGATTTGTCCTTGAGGGACCATGAATGGCTGTTCTTCAGACCATATAAACTCGGGGGTGCTCTTAGGAATAGAAGGAAGAAAGACAGAACAATAAAATCCAGTAGTGTGCTTACCATTTTCATCCAAAGAAAAATCATCCTGAGCGTAGCGAAATTTTTCAGGGCCACAGGCAATAAAAACATCATCATCACCAAAGAAATCATGGAGACAGGTTACCTACGAGGAAGGCAGAAATATCGGAGTGGTATTTGGTGGTCTTGTGCCAAAGAAACTCACAACATGTTTCAGGATGACATCTAGGTCATCCTCTCTGGATCCCAGGGATTCTCATTTTTTGTTTGTTTGTTTTGTTTTGTTTTTCTCCCAACAATGACAATGCACAACCACTATTGTTGAGAAATAACATGATGAGTACCATCACGCTTTCTTGTTTCATGTGTGATAATCTTATTCCTATGGCCTCAAGGCTAAGACTGAAACTATGTCCAAATGTCAAAGGCGCTCTTTTGAATAAAAGTCAGCCAGCAGACAAAACCATAAATGTCACCTTTTCTTAGCACCTCAAAGAGTGCTCCTGTCTATCACTCAGGCCAGGGCTCTAGACCAAGGCAGATGAGATTTTTATGCAGCCTGTGGTGGGTAGATCCTGTGGCTAACCCAGAAATGGAAATTCATAAAAGAAGGATGACATTGCTTAACTGCTTTGGATACCCCAAAATTGAACTCTGGCTAAAAATGAGCCAAGAACTTGGTATTGACTCAACTTACAATTCCTCCCTGAGAAACCAGGATGGAGAAACTAGGCTGACTACTTAAAACTTCATCAAAAGCATGGTTCCTCAATAGGCATGTAAGGCCATGTTCCCAAGACCCTTTCTGCCCTCCAGAGCCCTATGTATTGCCACTTCTTGGTATCAGGAAGATATTCTTCCCATCCCACATTTGCACAAAGAAATGAAAGTCCCTGAGAAAGTGTGCTGCTCCATGCAGTCTCCCCACTTCTCAGTTTTCCTAATTACATCTGATAATTAGTATAGCACATCAAGGGAAACCCCAGGAGAAACCATAGAGTCAAAACATGCTGATCCCACTCCTTAGCTTGAACGTTTTCAAAGTCTCCAATTGTTCCAAGCTTCCCATTCATGCTGTCAGCAATAGCTTTACAAAGGCACAGTGCTCACAAACTAACAACAGATTGCTGGATACAGAGAGCAATATGTTACATTTGGAAAAGGTTTATATTAATAACAGCAACACCACTCAAGTTCTATTCAATCCCTGGTACCCTAGCCAAGATGATTGAAATCCTTACACAAAGGCAGAGATACTTAAAGATGATCCCTATTGTCTAAGCCTTGGACTCATCTGAGCGATGCTCACAGGAAGAAGAGAGACTTGGACTATAGCCAGGGCTGCTCATATGAAGCCTTTCCTTAGTCCTGGGTCCCAACTTCATCAGATAAGCCAATACTCTTCTTCAGCCCACTTGTCCTGCACCCATTCCTCTCGTGATTGTATCATGACAGAGTTACCACTGGCTGAAAGCTTATTCAATACTAGGCACTCTGCTAAGTACTTCCAAATCTATCATCTCTTATTACACTGCTAACAAAACCTAGAAGTCAATATTATTGACGTTGCTATTTTAAATATGAGAAACTTGACATGCAAAGACAATAAATCATCCAGATGACAGTGAATAAAGACAAATGTAGATCATTCTTCAAAGCTTGTGGTTTTAGAGCATTTTTATGGGCCCAGCACGCTTCCACTGCGCCACTTTGCTTCCTACATTTTTAAATATATTTAATTGAAAGGCAGTGAGACAGAGGGGATATAGAGGGCAGGAAGAGCAAAAGAAAGAGACAGAGACTGTGCTTTTTAAATACTTGGCAATATAAAACATATACAGACTAGTTAGTGTGGAGACAGAGATGAATAAAACTCAGTCAATAACATCATGGACCTGGTGGTTTGATGGTATGAGGTACAGTGAGAGAGCATTTCAATTTAGGTTATCACAAGTGTTAGGGATATCTGTAGATGCATCAACAGCTATTGTTTGCCACATCCAAGTGATCCCAGTCACTTACTGGCATTTTGAGTGCAATTGACATCCTGCATTATGTCCTGTCGGCAGAGCCTATGACAGAGGGTACACAGTTTTGAGTTTGCTACTGACCTCCAAGAAATATCTTGGACATGAGTGAAAAAAATCTACAGCCCTAACTTTGGTACATTGAGTGTCCCCAAATTACTTACTATAATTTATGCACAAGAAAATTATCCATTTCTGCAAATAAAACTTCATATGTGATGGAGTAGAAGGACAATAAGTAAAGGTGGAAAGGGAAGTTGGAAAAAACAAGGAGGAAGAATAGAGTGTGAAAAATAATACTCAAACAAATCACACATATGAACTGCTTTTAAAAATTCCATGGAGTTCATACTTCACCCTAGCTTACAGTACCGATGTTTTATTTTCCAAATTATTTTGTTGAGCTAAAATTTTCATCACAAAGTGGCAACAAAAGTAGAAAATATAAATAAGCATTATTACACCACTTATGCCTCATCAAAGATCAGAGGTCTTGCCAGCACCATCTTAAATGAGTGTCATATTTGGGTGCTTAAGTCAGAGAAGACAACATGAAAGTGTGACAGCCATCTTCATCATTAATCAACTGCCCACACAAAATCAATGTAATCAACTTACATTAACATTGATCCATTAACTTAGTGCTCTTTCTTTAAAAAAAAAAAAAAGCAGGTGTTAGAGGTGGTGGCCAACCTGGTCATACATTAGTGTGACCCCTAGATTATATGGGATGGTCCAGTGGTGTCTATTAGATGTCAAAGTACAAATGGGAAAATGGAGACAACAGATATCTGTGTGGGAACACTTTAAGTCTATTAGCTGCAAATGGAAAATTCACTGTGACTTGATTTAGTCTTGATTAGATTCTCCCCCAATGTATTATAGACACTGGCAGTTAATTCTTGTTTATGCCCGCTGCCAGCAGACTCTCCAGTTCACTTACATAATAATTGGGAAAGCAATGTCATATTGAGAAGGAAATTTTTGCTTGTTTTTCTATTTTTACACTCTCAATGTGCAAAATATTTTTATTGATGATTCAGTTTCACTAATACTGACAAATTAATCACTTATTGGTACAAAGAAACTGTAAGTGCGACACAGAAATATACAATATTGGGCTACTTTCTCCTAAGAGCTGACAACATAATAAACAAGTCAGAACTACACACACACACACACACACACATTAGAATACAAGGCAGGCTGTTGTGAGCACTATCATAGCTTCACAAGGAACAAGGGGAGCACAGAAGACAAAGACAGTAAATCTAATCGTGAGAACTGGAGAATGCTCCAAAGAGATGATGACAGAAAAAGCTGGCTTTTGGAAGATGAGTAAGATACTGGTTGATGCTACTAGAAGAGATATTCTAGGCAGAGGTAACTGCATGACCCAAGGCAAAGAGGCAAGAATGTGCTTTCTTCTTCATGGATACACGAGTAAAAAAGCTAACTCTTGGCGATGAAAGCAACGGAGATTCTGACCCTGCTGAGCTCTGCACAGACAGCACAACTGCTCAGACACATCTGCCAACCTCCTGCCCAGACAGAACATACAGTTGTCTCCTGATGGAATTCAGGGTTATGAGGAGGACAGAGAGCGTCTTTGGAGAGGGATGGCCCCAATGATGAAAAAGAGGGATGCCCTGTGGCAAGAAAGACAAACCACACTGATTTCTGAATCTTGCCAACAGTGTGCCCTGCCCAGAGAGTGACTGACTGGCAAGCTTCACAAAGTCAGTTAATGAAAGAGTCAGAAAACATTACAGATGAGACTTTTTCTAAAAGTCACTGCTACACTCATTCTGGAACACCTTCTGCTTGCCAGAGAGGTTGGCACACATTTGGCTTAGTGAGCAGTGGCAGTGTTTGTGAGACCACCCTGGCTTTCTCACCAAACTCATTTTCCTGAGGTTATCTTGAAGTCTTACTAAGCAGACTTCTCAAGACAACATTTTTGCCTGGGTAAGTAGTGCCTTGATTTTTGTGGTGCTATGTTTTGGCACAGATCTCTTTATTCAACAACTTGAACTTGCCTTCTGCTGCTGCTCAAGTGGTTGGGTCGCTGTCATCTACATGAGAAAGTAGAATTGTTTTTCCAGTTTCTACCTTTGGCCTGGCTGTTGGGAGCGTTCGGAGTATAAACAAGTGAATGGAAGATCTCTCTCTGCTTTTCAAATCTAATTATTAATTAATAAATAATATGATACACAAAACCATTGAATTATATTATGAGTGAATTGCATGTAAATTGTATCTCGATGAAAATGACATATCAAAAAAGAGGAACAAAAGTCTATTGCAATTTATTCTGAATTTACACTGGATCTTAGCCAAAGTTCAAGAAGTGATCATTTATTCTGAATTGAGTTGAAAGGTAGCAGGTAGCAGGAAGGGTTTTAGAACACATAGTCTGGCGTATTGCAGAAGTGCAAGTGAAATTTCACCTGCTCAGGGAAGTCTTCCTTATTTCTCAATCTCAACTAGGACCACTACCACCACCATGAGATTTTGCTGACTCACTCCTTAAATGACCACAATGACCAAACCTGGGCCAAACCAAAGCCTTGTGCTTCATTTGGGACTCCCATATGGGTTCAGAGACCCAAGGAATTGAACCATCTCCCACTGCTTTCCCAGGGACATTAACAGGGAACTGGATTTGCAGTGGAACAGCAGGACTCAAATCAATACACATGTGGGGTGCTGGTGTGGCAGGCAGCAGTCTATCTTGCTATATCACAACTGCAGCCCCCCTGCCTGACTCTGTAGACCGATAGCAGCCTTGACTGCTTCACTCCAACACCCAGGTACCTAAGGTACACAGCAGTAGCACTTATTTCCTAGACAGGGAAGACATAGGTGAGAAAATCCAGTAGAGGACTCTGGGTGGTAAAGCAAAACTACCAATGTTAGGGGAAAGAGTGGCACAAAGAGGAGACATGAAGGAATAAGACTTTCTACCCTGTTTTACCGGGAGCTGGTTGAGATTTAATAACCTGAGTTAGACAGTGCCAGACGCCTTGGAAGCCTGGCAACCCCTCAATGCTCAAGTGTGTTTTTTCCTTAGTTTTTCTTTTCCATTTTTCCAAGAGTCTGTCAGCTCCCACTGGGG